CTTATGATTACTTGGGCCTGGGAAACCAACCTCTACCTTAGAGCAAAGCCTGTCCAAGGAAGGGGCATGACCCTTGTCCTTGGAAAGACCCACAGAGCACTCCTAGGCACATACCCACCCTGCTGAACTGTTTATCTACAAATAACAGTAGAGATCTGCGGAGCCAGGTGTCCCTGACTCAGTCAGGCTAGGTAAGGACCCATAGCAACCCCCTAGCAACCACCAATCAGCATGAGACAGGGAAAATAACTGGGATGCCAGATGACTCTTCCATAGTTTATGGTGGTTGATAACAAGTTGGGAAACCATGTAGTTTAGCACACATTCCCCTAGTGGCTTTAACCAATGAGTTCAAACGAATCCCCCTCTTATACTAACCAATCACCCTTACCCAACTTGTTCCCGCCAGTGAATGTGCTATTCATGTTTTAGAGTTGTTTTATGATTTTCCCTCAGTGTGTAATGATTTGCTAAGAGATGCTATGGTGTATGTGAAGTCCCTGCCTTCCCCAAAGAGTGTATAAAACTGCTGCAAACCCTGGCCTTAGGGTCTCTCAGCATCATGTCACCAGTTGCTGTGTGTGCACGAAGGACTGAGCTAGCTCTCAATGAACACCTCTTTGCTGCTTACATTGATCTTGGTCTCTGGTGGTCTTTTGGGAGTCCCAAATTCGAGCATAACAGTGCCCTTTCTTTCAGTATTATTATAACAATTTTATATTCATGGTCAAAGGCACTCTTGTCTCAAGTCCAGTGTGAGGGTTTTAATTTAGTAGAAAGCTGAGGGCTACATCTTAGAACCAGATTCATGTTGAGCACCACTCTTGACTAGAGTCACAACCTTCATTAGACCCAGATACTACATAGTTTACTACTGAAGCAATGTCATGTTCAAAAATGTAGTTCAACAGACAAATGTAACTACGAAGAAAATTTATTCTTTACCTGTATCTTTTGAAAAACACTGAAGTTCATCCAAATGTGTATTTTACAAACTGAATTGTTAAAACAGTGTTTGTTTGGTTACTCTCATCACTCTTTGGTGGAGTTCAGTCCCTGCTATTCTGAAAGACGGCATGTTAGTAATTGAGAAAACAGCAGAAACAAACAGGCAGGTGACTTAGTCACCTTCTTTAACCCTTTTCCCTTGGAGCAGGCCAAACATAAATTCTCTGAGTTTGTTCTGACAAAGGTCCTAAGGCTTGTTTTCTTTCTTTCTTTTTGTGTCTATTGGTTCTATTTAGTTACACTTGTCAGTAGAATTCATTTTGACATAATCATAAAAACAAGGAATATATCTTGTTCTAATTCAGGTCCTAAGGCTTTCATGTCAGAAGTGCCCACACTGCACCGGGAAGAAAGAAACACCCGTATCTCTGAAAATACAGAGACACCTACAATCAGGCAAAGAGGCTTGCTAAATCACCCGTACCTGCTTATGACCCCTGGATCTCACCCCTTTTGTCCAGACTTCTCTACAACCACCCACTTCTTCATTAAATTTAGCATAAAAATACACATTTCCTTGTTTCGTTGGGGTTTCATTTCTGAAGCCTCTTGTGTCATGTAAAACTTGACAATATAAATATATTTGTTTGTTCTTCTTCTCCTAATGTCTTTTTTTATTATTTTTATTTTTTATAGATGTCTCAGGCATGATCCTAGCCTTAGACGAGAGAGGTCCTTGCTCTCCTGTCTGCTCATACCCACAGTGGCCATGTACTTCTCTCCTCCAACACCCTATACAAATTTCATCTTCATTCCTAGGCTATACCTTCATTTATTTTTTTCTTATTTACTCTCCTCATCTCCATTACTTTATTATATGCTAAATTTGGACTATATAAAATAAACCTTTAGAAAGCTTGTAGGAGGAAGGGAAAGGAGATGAAATGTGGTTATCACTGATGGGGTAAGACATTAGTCTCATCACTCTACTCATAATGGTGTCATAACTATCAAAAATATTAATACTTACTTGAAACAACATGGAGGAAAAACACTTTCATAGTCTACAACTGAGGAAGTATTAAAACGTTTCAAGGGTTTGACCTTTTTTAATCCTTCCAAAGCCCTGCAGGCTGTGAATCATTATTCACATTTTGGTGGTGAGAAAACAAAGGTCCAAAGAAGCATCACACAATTTGTAGCTGGTGAAGTCAAAATTTGATTTCAGGGAGAGTGATGCTAGTATCAAGCTCTTAACCATGAAAAAGACAGAAACAATAGTTTTGATGCTGGTTGGACTATCTTTATGCCACCTTCCAACAACAATGATTTCATAGAAAGTATTTCTGAAAAATTTTCAAGGAGCCATTGTAAGGAAATATTGCAAACACTTTGAAAAGAGGAAGAAAATCTCAATAACTACCTTCAGAAAAAATAGCCTGAATTAATGAGTCAACATCAACATCTGAAAATTTAAGAAAATGTACAGACAAGTTTCACTAAACAAACAAACAAACCCTTCTTGACCAAATTGGATTAGAGCCTGGGTCAAGACAGAATAAGAGCCCAAAGAAAAATTGTACTCACTATCTAAACTGGAATGAACTAAAAGCAAAGAAGACATTTAGAAAGATAATAATTATCATTCCATAACATAACAAAGGAAATATAAGGTTAAGAAAAGTCAAGTTAAAAATATGGTTAAATGAATGTTATAATTTCAATGCAGTCTTTTGGGAAGTGAGGCAAATCTCCTTCCATTGGCAAACCTATTAAAGTCAAGCTGAGAGTTAGGTCAGATGATCAGTGCATTCTGATATTTTTAAACTGAAGTTCGGCAGACAAGTAATAAACAGGCAGGGTGTGTATGTCACCTTGCACAGTTAGAAAAAGGTAGGAGAAGTTTTAGTGCTGGGACATTTCCCCTTTGGTAGTTATTGTGGGTGTATTCTATCCAAACTGACCGCATTACTCTGAAGCAAGCCAAAGTTAAAGGAAAGCTAAAGAAAACAAAACAAAACAAAAACTGTTACTTTCCTAGATAGCATCACATTAATCTTAGCCAAATTTCCATCAAGAAAATAGTAGAATATAGCTGAAAGTATTCTATTGCACACAGACCTATATTTTAAAAGAGCAGAGCTTATGCTTCTCTGATATCTATACTTTGTGATTGAAAAACTGTGCTAGAGAGATATAGCAAACAAAAAATTGCAAAGAACCTATTGTGATAAATGATACATGACAAAATTACATTTAAACAGTTACTAGGCCCAAAGGAATCCAGTGGAGAATAAGTGCAAACAATGTGGGGGTTTTCTACTCCTAATTTCGTTGACAAAAATGACAAAATATAGTTATTTCACATAAAGACAGGGAGAAATAGGAAACCTGAAAACATAAAATATGTTGTTCATAGAGAGAGATGACGTTCACATATATTTCAGATTGGCAGTTTTATTTGGAAGGGATCTCTAGATCTTTGCTTTCAAAAACCAGAACTATTAAGAGTAGTACTATAAAGAGAAGCACAGTAGCTTTACCTCTTAACATTTTGGACAGGCAAAACTGTCTAAAGACTAATTTGAAATTCAGTTAGTACATCCTGGGAAAAACATGCAAGCAAATATATCTCTAAATGGGATGCCAAAAGAATGTTGTTAACACATTTGTAAATTTCCAATTCTTTCTTACTACCCTTATCCAACCACCCAAACAAATCAGTTTAAATACAACTTCTTTTACTAATGTCTTTTGAAGCATCGCTGCAGTCAAGTAACCATCTGCCACAAATACAAATAGAGCTACATTCAAGAATTATATTATACAGCCTCCCTAGCAAAGTTCTCAACGTGCAAGCTGTTCTTGTCAAAATCAGAACCATTGTGATGATGCATCTTAATATTCAATCAGACTTTAAGTAAAGAGTGACAAAAGTCCACATATGGATGACAGCTGTTTCTTCAGTAAATATTTTCCCATTTATTGAATGGAGGCTTATGGCAGTTTACGATATGTTCCATCAGATATTTCAGCCTGAACTGCCTGAGGACTATTAAAACAATAACAAGAATAAAAAGTTCAGTTTTTTTTTTTAAATCTTTGCTATAATTTACATCTTCAAAAATAACGATTCCTCCAATTAGAGTGGCAAACAATGTCATTTGCTGGACGGAATCCCTGCCTAATTCTGACTGACGGAAAAACGGACATTAATGGACTCCAAATCTTTTTGTTCTTCACCTCTAAATATAACAGTATGTCTGTAAAATAAAGGCATAATTCCTATATTGATTTGACTTTCTACCACTCTACCAGTAAGAACAAAGTTGATGGGAAGTTAAACACTTTAGGACTGTATTTTGATGAATAGTGAAATATTAAAAAGGATTAATGAGTCTATTATCTAATAGAAGGTCATAGAATATAAAGCCTTCTTTTTAACCAATAAACTAGTTTGAAAATTAGAAAAAAAAAACTTTAAGAAAAATGAAGATGGATTCTGATGCATAATAACTGCATAATAATATTGGGTGTACATATCTATCATTACAGAAAAAAAAGTTATACTATGAAATAAAAATATCGTTATTGCTTCAGTAATACAGGCGAAAGTATATTGTGCTCCTTTTATAAATGCTAAATGTCATGTTGAACCTAAGTGTGTTAACAGTACACCTTTCGAGTAGCATTTGTGAAACTTGCTAACTACAAGGTCCTTTGCTAAGTCTCAACATGGCTCATCTCTTTAACCTAAAACTATCCTGAGGCTCTTGTCTGGTGATAAAGCAATTCATAGGAGTTTAGAAGGTTGTGTGTGTCTTAGGTTAGGCCTGTAATATTGATCTGCTAAGAAAACAGTATTCCTAGCTTCTGAATTGTGACTTATAGCTTTCTTTCCTTCCTGCAATACACATGTGAAAATCAACAATTTTCTTTTAAAATTTTGAGCCTGTAGTCTTATCATTCTCCACAACTCTTGTCAGACTTTGATCATTTTTTTCTCAAGGGAAACTTTCACAGACCAAACATGATAAAGAAGAATTTCTTACCCTGCTATTGGATCTACTGCTATTGCCTTAGGATTATGAAGCTCCAGATCAATCAGGGTGACACACACAGACCCATTATAATTACAAACAAAGATCCGGTCACTGACGTGGTCCACAAAATAGAGATTTCTGGTGAGCCAATCAATCGCCATTTGTTCCACATCTGAAAAACATAGACATAAAAACATTGAATCATAGGAGCATATCTAGCATCATAAGCCAAAGAGTACATATGTCTGCCGTCACAGAGGACATTTCAAAAGTACAGGAACTTTTATGGTAAGAAATTACAAAGAAAATCTCTTGCTATGCCAAAATGAGTGACTTGATTATATAAAATAATGATTGCTTCTTCATAACTTCTCATTATCTAAAGATTGGAGATAGGCCACTCAAATGGAAAAAGAAATTTCTGAATACAGGTTTTTAAAATATAAACTTTCCTTTACTCTTTGCATTTTTCCAACTAGTATATTTAATCCAATGAACACAACAGGTTCAATGGCACAAATAAAATCTATAGTGATACGAGAAGTAAATAACTTTTCTGAACTTAAGGCAAATCCTGGTTTTCAGATCCATATTTCTTAAAAACATAAAAAGGAACATATGGAGAATGTGAGAAGACAAAGCTATAAAATCTTTATTTACAAAAAGTATGAAAAACTTGGAAATAAAGAAAAAGAAGGAGTGACAATTTCTTCCAATGATGTACTTATTTATGCATTGTGAAAAAGACCTGGTCAAGGATGAATTCTCTGGAAGAGATGAATGGAATATCCCATATCCACACTGTTTAATGAAGTAGGTGCTATCACACATGTCTATTGAGCATTTCACATGTGGCTACTATGACTGAGAAATGGAATCTTTAATGTATTATATTTTTATTAATTTAAATTTAAATTTAAATTTCAAATAATGTACCTGTTTGATTTGAGCATTGTTTACTTGATCAAACTTATACGCTGTGAAAGTACATGTTAATTTGTTGATAGTTAACTGGTAAAAAAAAAAAAAAAGAATAACCCAAAAGAGTATGATTTTATTACCTCATGAGACATTAAACAATTTTTATCTAACTTATAAATTTCATATAAACATTATTCTTTAAACTGCTATTGATATCCAATTTCAGTAATGCTATTAGACCAGCAATACTGGTCTGGTTCCTTCAATAATGCCATATATCCATTTCTGGCCCATGTTCATTATTTTTTACAAATGCCATGCTTTTGATTTTTAAAAATTGTAGTAGTCCCTCCCTATTCATAAGACATATATTCGGGAACACTTAGTAGATGACTGAAAGTATTAGTAGTACCAAAACTCTAGGCACACTGTATTTTTCCCATATATACACACTTATAATATATTTTATTTATAAATTAAGCATAGCAATGTAATGGACATCATTATTCTAAGTACATATATGAAGACATGAATGATGTGACTCTACTTTGGGAATAACCAGAGACATGAAAAATTGTGCTCTAGATGTGTAATATGAATTGAAAGGCCCTCTTCTGTCATATAACAAATTAGAATAAATAAAAAGTAAATTAAGCATAGTAAGAAAAGCAATAATAAAATATAGCAATTATAATAAAATATTGCAATGAAATTTTATATTGCATTTATGTAAATGTGTTATCATGGTCTCTTTCTTCCTTTTTCTCTCTAAATATCTTATTCTACTCTGATGACCACAACTAACCATAAGTAATGGAAACCACAGAAATCAAAACTGAGGATAAGGAGAAGCTTCTATATACTTTTGATAGGTAATAGACATGAGTGGAAGGAACATGAAGCCAAGGGAATAATCAATTGACTAAACCTATGCTAGCTCTCTACACATGTTTTTTTGTTTGTTTGTTTCATTTTGTTTTTTTAAGCAATTTACCCAAGACAATTCTGGCCTTTCTCAAAATTAAATGAATAGAATATATTACAACTTATGATAAGCAACTTGGGTTATTGGGATTAAGGAATACATGTGCAAAGTCTCTGTATATAGAATGAAACACAAATTACCCTGACTTAGGACCAGCCAGGAGAAAAAGGGCCATCTGTGACCTTTAGATAGACCAACAATTCTAAAACTTAGGGAAACAAAACAATTAAAAGCAAAGCCTACAAACTACAAAATCTGTAAGAACAAGTTCCAATTAGAACTACCAGTATACATGGATCTTTAGATTTTTAACAGATTATTTTACTCTTCCTGTAATTGTAAATTTTCTCCTCACTCTGCCTCCACCATGGGTTTTTCTTGGGTACTTATGGAGAGAAACCTGAGCAGTAGGGATTTAGGTATCTAATATTATCCAGCAGTCATTCCAGGAGGTGGTGCTTGGACAGGATTCTTCAAAGACTTTTCATTAAACCTCAGTAAAAGCTGGGACACAAAGAAGAAGGTTGTTAATCACCTCTTTGAGACAATGCACTCTCCTTTTTGAAAATGTTTCCTCTTTCCTTCCTAATATACACTTTGCTATTCATTTACTATGTCTTTTGTCTTGCTTGAAATCTCATGTGAGAATACAAGAGTAGAGAGACAAGTATAATCCCTGCTAACACTTTGATATTTCCTTGCTTGGATTCTGTATAGACCTTAATTGACTAAAGAGAATGACAGAATTCATAACAGCCTTTTCTAACACTGGGCACATTGGAATACTGAATATTTTAAGCTGAATGAAGCTGAGAAACAGCAAGTGTAAGAAAGGCTCTCTGACCTCCCTTCTGCCTCCTGAAGCAGGTCATAAAAACCTCATGTGAGAGATAGCATCCCTACTCCCAATGGAGAGCAACACCCTTAATCCCAAAGTCAAAAGGACACTGAGAAGAATTCAACTAAGCAGACCTTGCTAAATTTATCCCAGTTGATTATCCTTACCTCATACCCATGTCCCACCATGTTTTTCTGTGACTTTTTATGCTTCATCAAACCTAGTATAAATATACTCACATCTAATCATTTTAGCAGGTTTTCATTTCTTACAAAGACTCCCCTATCACATAAAGCTTACACTACATAAACACGTTCCTCTATCCTTTTTAGTCAAATTTGCATGATACCAGCTGGAGAAACAAAGATGGGTACAGAATTTTCCCCCCCTCTGGAAGAGTGAATTTCTTTAATCTGAATCTAAGCATTTTTCCTACTCCCAGTCTCAAAATACTTCCTCAGTAACATGCTGCTTCAGTGAACAATGATCTCTCAACAGAGAGACAAACATAATCGTATATGCCAGCATTACCATTCATAATGGTATACTGTCAAAACAAGGTAGAGAAAGTGGTAACTTTGTGGGACTTTCTGTCATGTCCTATAAGGATAAGCAGAAAGCAAATATTGCAATTCATTGGATACAGATTTTTTAGGTCATCTATTATACTTTCATTCCTGAATTATGTAGCTTTTTATGAAAACATAAATATTTAAATGTTACCCAAACTGCAAGGAGATTTTTATCAGCCAACTCAGCAATCAGGATTTTAAAAAGTCTGAATTATTTGTCTCCTCAAAAGTTGGAAAAGCATGCTTTGTTTTGCTTTTGAATCTTTTTACATTATTATATCAGCAAGGGCTCAGAACTCACTGCTTTAAATGCCATTTCAAATACCTTGGGTTTAGGTCAAGTATGTGCCATTGTACATTCAAGGCCCCATCCTTCATGCTGAGCCTGCAGTTGCTTTAGTCTGAGCAATTGTAATTTCAGACAAAAGAGCTGTTTGACAGCATTCCTACCTTCTTTCAATTCTTTATCATTTCAGAAAGATTCTCTGCTACTAAAACAATAGGTATCCTTAACAGCAGTCCACATTTGAAGCAGTGAGAGCGGTGAGGTCTCACTAAAGAGATTAATTAGTCAAACACTTAGTAATCGTGGGGAATTGGTTTAGTTTCTTTTTCTTACAGTTGAAGTTTCTGTCTTTAATGTAATTTGTATTAAGATTGGAAAGATTAGGCAATTAGACATAGAGTTCAAGCAAGCAAGCCAAGAAAATAAACAGATACAGATAATGTTGGTGCTCAGAAAATGATACTTCAAAATCTGGTGTACTGTGAACCAAGGAGATTAGAAGGCATCAGAAGCAAAATCTCTTCACATTTCTCCTGCCCTCTTTATTCTTTTTCCCTCTTTCCAAAAATGAACCATAGAAACTACAATTTCTCTTTTCCAAGAAGGAGCAGAGAAACCAGAAATTCTTTTCCCCAAAGTAAGCCATAATACCTAGATTAATTATTCTAAACTTCTCCTAGTTTTTGCTGGAGGATCTGGTCATAAAGAAATTTTCTTACCCATATTACTGTCAGTAGGTGGTAAGACCTTTATTCCAGAGTGGTCCTGGCTCTACATGAAGGAGTAAGCCTTGCTGGATTCTCTCCTCAAACTATTACCATTGTATCATGCCCTTTTTGTCCAATCACTTTCCTACATGGATGGTCCACTCCTCATGAATAAATGAAGTATATACATACACAGTTATCTCATGGAAAATTTTGATTAAATAAAATTACTTTGCTTTCCTCTTATTAACTTGTCTTTTACTATTTAAAAACACTATGACTCTTGTGATGGTTGATGATACATATTATCCCTCCTGATCCCTACAACAGAAACATAGGGAGGCAGGAAGGTAGATATAAGTGGATATAGATAGATAGATAGATTTGGACAAATTTAAAAATAATTGAAACAGACTGAATTTGTCCCCTCCCCTCTTGAATTAACAGCAACTTCTGCTGAGAGAAGAAAGCTAAAGGGCCTGTAACCCACACCCCCACTACGTTAACAGGCACTAAAAAAGATGGAGCGAAGATGGCCCCTGGCCTGGCCTAACAAAGGCTAACTAAATCTGTATATGTCCATTTCCCAACTTTTGTTTTACTAACCTGCAGCTGCTGCTTCTTCCTATAAAATTTTGCTCAATTTCAGGAATTTCAGAGATGGAACTTTTGAAACTAATTTCTTCCAACTTCCTTTAAAGCTGTCTTTATATAAAACCTATTTTTCTATCAATTTGACTATTTCTGGAGTAGGGAACTTATGATCTAGGCTCTTCCCTCCAAGGTGGTTTTAGAGCTGCTTCTGGGAACACCACTGAATACTTCCCAAAGCATAAGCTTTTATTCTCATCAGCATGGCATTG